CCTGCGTCTAAATATAGGTATAACTCAAAGTATCAGTAAAACAAACGGACTGGAAAATCCAGATGTTGAGTGACACCGGCAATTCAATTACCAATTTAAGCACATGGATGCATTGCAAGAATAATGCACGAGTCAGGTTTAACTTGGCCCTCAGGCACCTGCTTTATGAGTCTACCACAACAAAACCATGCAATCAGAGAATACCGCAAGGATGTTAAAGGTCCCATGTCATGGCCATTTCTACTGATCATAATTCCATTGTTGAGGTATAGATTTATATTGTGCAATTTTCCTAACTCACACTGGTTCTCATACAGCATCTCTGTATAGTAGGCTATGTGTATTCACTCTCTGTCCTAAACGGCTTGTTGGAGCTACTGCCCCCACTCCCTGTGAGCCCAGTGTGCTCTGATTGGTCGAGACGTTGCAAGGCTCGTTGCNCGTACCTGTGCACGTCCCTGCGTCTAAATATAGGTATAACTCAAAGTATCAGTAAAACAAACGGACTGGAAAATCCAGATGTTGAGTGACACCGGCAATTCAATTACCAATTTAAGCACATGGATGCATGCATACCTCCCCCTCCCTGTGAGCCCACTGTGCTCTGATTGGTCAGCTCGCCCACTCTGTTCTGATGAGTCTACGACCGTTACAGCAGAACATCAGTGATTATGTGTTACAATGGCGTTAGCAACCAGAAAAATGACACCAGTAAGGACAAACAGATGAGAATGCTGGGTGGGATCTGGGTGCCGTGTTGGCGGGATGTTGCGAGGCTCGCTGCTGCGAGGAGCGGACAGTGTGAGCTGGGTTCATTTCCTGCTTGCTGTGTGGGATCTGCGAGACAGCACGAATGGACGTGGGAAGGGGGGGTGCTGCGGGGGCTGCAGCACCCCGATCTGCGAGGCTCCACTAGCACCCGCACCCCCAAACACAGCCCACCTACAGTGTAAGCGCGCCACAGTTTCGCCACTGCGAGTCTCCACTAGCACCCCTCTTTAAGTCGGGTAAGCATCAATGTCAAGAGCAAACATGTCCATAAAAAAACTGGTTAATCAGTCAATAAAGAAAACAATCAGGCATGTTGTATTATAAGAGCTATGTAATACCACTGCAATGGAAACTAATACAAATATGGCAGACAAAAGGAAATGTGATTTTGATCCATCTATAGATGTAGAAAGAATGACAATGAGCACCAGGAGCAGGTGTTTAGAGGAAGTGTGAAGAGGGCTCAGTGGCTTGATATCAAATGGTTAGATATGCTGCAGTAAGAGCAGTGACGCAGCCCAGTGGACAGACAACTGTGTCCCTCTGCTGTTGAGTTATTGTACCATTTACTGATGACTCACAGCAGAGACAGAGATAAGGCCCTGTAGCCAGGATGTCTGACTTATCACCATCCATCACACCTTCCTAAGTGAGAGAAGGAGTTTTTTTCCCCTCCTCTCTAGTTCCGGCAGTCAGTCAGGCATGTGTTAAAGGGCACCTATTATGCAAAATCCACTTTTACATGTATGTTATACATAAACATGTGTTCCCTCTGAGCTGATCAGATTTTGGCCACTTTACGATGTCATAACGTTTTTTTGGCTTGTGTAACTATTAGCCAATCACCAACCAAGGTAACTGCCGCCCACCTTATCACCTGAATCTCTTCCTAGAGCACCTTTGTGTTTTTTTTAAACCAAATATCTCTCAGAGGGGCGTGGGGAGGGGCTCCTTATTTTCATCTAAAGTAAAAGACAGAGACTCAGCACTTTTGAAACAGGGCTGAAACAGAGGGGTTTATGGGATGCTGCAATGGGTGATCTGTTTGGTATTTCGAGCCAAACACTTCAGAGACATTTTTTGTATATATCTGAGACTTATAATATATTGATGAAATACAGTATAATAGGGGACCTTTAATGATCGTCTTGGACATCCAGTTTTAGACAAACATGACTGAGAGCAAATGGATTTAAGTACTTTGTTACCACAGAAGGGCCATAAAGCTGAGGCTGAGTGTCCGGTGCTACATGGCTCTTAACTACATCATGATAATAAAGAACCCATTTTGGTCGCACAATTGTTTTAAAACAAGGGAGTTCAGCATTGTTTTATTTTGATCCAAACAGCAGTAATGTCGGGTTTCCAGGGTACAATTAGTGTAGCCATAATATGTATTTTTTTAGAAGAAAAGACAAGAATTAAGATGGTGTGCTTCAGTTAAAAGTGATAGAAAACAGGGACAGGGGAACAACCAGGACTGTAGCTCATGTATTGTTTCTGTGAATGTGGGGATTCTTAACAAGCTGAGGAAGAGATTATGTTCTAATTGTTTTGTATTCTTTTATTTGACTACTGTTGTCAAAAACGTAGTTAAAATGAAGGAATTATAGTGTTTATTTGTTGATTGTTTTGAAACAGAAGACAGTTTACACCAACAATCTATATATGTTAAATTAATATAAGACATGCTGAAAAAAAGTGCTTCCTAGTCTAAATAAATAAGAAATGTTGACTCATCCTGGCTACTGTCCTCGCAGACACATATTTGTTTGTTGTGTAGGACTTGAGAAAACAGTAAATATGAATATTAAACCAAATCCATTAGAGACATTTGAAAAATGTACAGTTGGTGATGTCTAAGAAACTGTGGTCTGGCCAAGTCTCTGGTGCTGGTGTAGCAGCTGCATTAAAGTTTTAGAGATCTCCCTGTACCTCAGCCCATACAGGTATGGAGCAAACGCCCTGGGCAGCAACATGAAAACAGACATATTGACAGTGCTGATCCACACACGAACATCCTGACTTATGGCTTTCTCCTGGAAAAGGAAGAGCTCCAGGGTGAAAACAAAGCCGGGGGCAAAGTAGAGCAGGAGCAGAACCCCGTGAGCTAGCAGCGTGACCCGGGCCCTGGAGAAGCGGCTGTGCCAAATACCATGCGTCCTTGTTACCATGTAGAGCTTAATGTAGCACACAAAAATGAGTAAAGCACAGATGAGTGCAGCTACAAAGAAGTAGATGTGGACCCCCTCCAAGTTATTGACCTGAAAAAAGCCGAGGGAGATGAGGGCCAGACAAAAAGCCACCTCATGGGGATTCCCCTTCTCCATCTCCATCATGATCAGCAGGGTGAAAGGGTACAGAGCCGCCAGCATCCACACCCCCACCAGTATGCGGTGGGTGCGGGCAGGTGGAAGAACATCATGATAACGGAGAGGCCAGCGAACTGCAGCGTAGGTGTCAACCACCATGAGGGTGACGGTGAGGATGGCACAGCAGTAGGTGGTGACAGTGATGGCTGTGACCAGCTCACAAACCAGCCAGGGGATTGGAACTCTCACAGCGTTACAGATGATGGTGGCCATGTTGAGGATGAGGTAGAGTATGTCTGCTGTCAGGGTGTTGGCCACCAGCAGGTAACGTGTCTCCTGACGCAAGGCTTGGGAAAGGAAAATGCATGACACGAGAACAGGGTTGGCTAACAAGGTGGCAACAGTGATCACTGTGGTGGGGATGAAAAAGTACTCCAGGTGCCATTGCCGCAGACTCTCCAACCATTCCTGTGTGAGGTTGGAAATGATCAATGCTGACGCCATTATCTTTTGATAGATGCAGACACAGATGCTGTGACTGAGGGGGGGTGTGTTGACTACTTCCTCCAGCAACCTTCTGCTGATGAAAAGACCAAAAATAATATCAATGTTCAGGCAGTATAGTATAGGTATAACTATAGAGACTATTCTATGTAAGGTTATCATTGTATGCACTACTATTAGTGGTTCACCAGATTAAGGAGTGTAAAATCTCTAATTTATGAACTTTGATCTTAAATTAGAGATTTTATTGCGTGGAAAGGGCCATCTTGTTGTATTGCTGTTGTGTTAACGCGTGCACTGCTTTGCATTAGGAACATGAGAAGCCATCATTGAAACATGAGGACACAGTAACAGATTGTCCATTGACTTTTAAGTGGCGGAAACAAATGCAAATGTTGTCAACAATTCTCTCTGTGAAAAAATCACTTTTAAAAATGACTAAGTTTACTTTAGAAAGATATACGCAAAAAAATCATCCTGTTGTCTAAATCATCAGCTTTGTCACTTGTACAATTTTAACGACTAAAACAGTCAACTTGCCTTTTGTTACTATGAAGAGATGGATCACTCCATAACACTGGGCCGATCTTTATTTACTTGTATATACCATGTCTTTCCTTTTTTGGCCCAACGTCGTACGTATTTAAATACATACAAAATCATATTTTTTTTATAATATAATCATGATAACCGTACCACTGCCATCCCTTGAGATAAAACAGAAATTCACTTGTTCACACACACATATAAACAAGTTATTGATTGAGTAAAGGTACGTTTTCCTACCTGATTTCCAGACCAGAAAAACCTCTCGGTGTTGCACATCCATTGGGCTTCCCACTTCTATAAATCAATAGATGCTTTGTATGACTCCTCTCACCCGCTGGCCTTATCTGCTCCACTCTGTTTACTCCTAGATAATACAAGGATGGAGAAAGCGAAAACCACTTGGCAGTCACATAGTAACAGGGTGGAGCTTTCATACTGTTAGCTGCTCCTCATGCTGGCACTTTATCAGGGATTTCTACCTAGGATGTTTCATATCTGATATAGCTTCATATGATTTGAGAACCAAGTAGATTATATTGTTAAGATTCACATTAAGCATCAAGGGAATTAAACATGAACAATTGCTTTGTGGGGCCACTTAAGGAAAGAATATATGATAGAAAATGTTCACACACGAGAGTCTTGACTTTCAGCCCTAACCTCACACTGCCGTCATCTTATTTTGCAGCATGGGGCCCCTGAGATAAACCCAACAAAAATCAACTTTAAGCTGCAGGCTTCAGTGGTGGGTACATTCAAAAGAGAACAAGCTATGTAACAATAACCGCAACATTGTTTCCATGTGTGTTTTTAGATTGGAATTTTCTATAGTACCTAATTACAAACCTGAAGTCATCAACCTGATAAAAGGAAACATTTTATTGGTTCATGTATCATTATCAGATATATCATTTCTCTATTCATCTAACTTCCTCTTTAAATGGGTTTTCCCCCTCCCACAGTGTTCTGTCATCTCTTTCTTCTCTTCCTGTATGCACTTTTCCCGCTAGTCTCCTCATCTTCTTCATCCTCCTCGTCTTCTTCTTCATCATCATCACTATCAGCTTCAATGCTCCCCTGCAGCTGCTCCTCCTCCTGCCATTCTCTCGCCATCAGTCTCTGAAACACCTCGTACTCCTCTGCTGAACCGTTGGCAACATCCGTGAGGAAAGTGTCCAGGTCAATTTTGAGGATGCTGTCCAGTTTGGAGTTGATGATCGTGGTCTGTCCCTTCTTGTCGGGAGTTTGATACAGGCCCCTGCGCTCCAGAAAACAGTGTCGACAGCGCACCTCCTCCAGAGTGTAACGGAACAACCTGGACTTCACCATGTCCGCCTGTTTGACCCCCATTCGGTAGTAGACGTACTGTGGAGAGATGAGTTGATACATGTTGTTAAAAACAACAAACAGCTGTTACAAGGGGCGGCAGTGGCTCAGTCTTTATATGTATCTATGTATATGTATTCAGACCTACCAATATAGGTTGTGTTCTGTGCATGTATTGTAGTGTGTACATTGTACTCAAATCAAAAGAAGAACAAGTAACTCAACAAACATATGGCTATTTGGCATAAATCAGATTATTTGCAGCTAAATTAGGTTTTGATACCTTATATTATAGTTGTGTTTCTGTTTTCTTGAGACTGCATCTTAATCAGGTCTAAATGACTAAATGAATATGAAAGCACAACATAAGCTTTGATTTCATTCTGTAAAGACAGCAAATTCACAAACCACTTTAATAACACTGAGATTCATTCACAGCCACTGTTGCCCAGGAGATGTGGAGTTGAATTATGACCACCAGAGGGAGTACTACATCAGTGTCCTAACTACTAAGCGATTTAGATTTTTTGTTCACACACAAAAAAAAGATCAGATTTGGTTTTGAGTGTGCTGTTGATGGACACTATTGTCCCAGAATGCATTAAATGGATGAGCTATCCCGCAGCTGGAAAAATAAGTTAATTTATGGATGATGATGATGATTATGAAAAAGCTACAGGAATACGTTGTAAAAACGATTAAAATAGGAAATCTTTGGGGTGAATATTTTTTCCGTTTGTAAAATGTAAATGAGTGACTAACATCTGTCACGGCATTTCCTGTTGGGGCATAACAATAACATGTAGATGTATTGTATACTGTAGGCTACTAAGAGGAAAAGTAAATAGTCCACACAGCATGTCATTATTGTCTAGTTTGAATTATACAATCTCTGTCTTAAATGTGTCTTACAATTTATGTTCTGTTTTTATCAGAGTGAATGCAGATTTAACAGTCACTCAATTATAAGGCCCATCATAATTTGTGCAGAGCCAATGGTTATGTCTTCAAATTCTGTTTGGCCCATAAATACTGACCTGAAACTTGTACTCCAGCTGCTCCTTGTCTTCCAGTATTACGGCAGGACTATCTCTCAGGATGTCTGTGACCTGCTGGGAAGTAAACTGGCACTTCTCCCTGAGGAGCAACACCATATGTTTTACTGTCTTCACAGGCACAGTCAGGATCTGGGGGAAATGGGAGACCACTCTCTGAAGACTGCCTAATGGGAAATAAGGAAAAGTAGATGTTTGATTATCTTTCAAAAGCCCCCAATATGACGTAAGTAAACCTAAAGCAATTCTTCAACAATGTTATGACAAAAAAGATCATGATCTCACCTTCAACTAAACCTAGTTTCCGCATGTTTCCTACGCGCTGCTGAAGCTGCAATTCGTTGATAGTGTAAAGTTCAGGGCATTTCTCCAGAACTTTTAGCACACTGGAAGGATTGAGGCCCAAGACGAACAGAGCTGTGAGAGTGGACAGAGCGTGTTTGGAAGCACTTGTTCCTCTGAGTTTGGAGGTGGCATCGGATATCTGCTCTGCCTGGGAGTCTGTGAATCCCATATCAACCAGAGAGGGGAGGGACAGCTCTGTGACCGGCTGCCTTGACAGAGGATGGGGCTCATGGGTGTGTCTGGGTGACTGGAGAGTCCCCTGGCTGGTGGAGGAACACAACAATCTGCCCCCAGCGCACAGAGGCTGGAGCTGGCATCTCCCAAACTGAAGTGGGCCGAATACAGAGTGGGTGGCATTCCTCAAAGTCCACCGAAGAATCTGTAGAAAATACAACCATGATTATAAGTTCAAGTTTACTGTTATGTACACTAAAACGTAGTATTTAAATACAATGAAAATTAAATGCATCTGGTTGGGCCCTCACACACACTATACGCTATTACGGTATGTCCCTGTTTTATTTCTTGTAGTAGAATTATGATGAATAGTCCGAACAGAATAATAACCCCTGTTATTTTTGTAGAGAAGATACGTAAACAGAGTATATGCTAATGAACAGGCTGTTGTCATTAGCATACGTTAGCAAACATGAAGGTTATAGCGGAAATGTGTGGACTTTCAGTGCTGTCTTCCACATGGTTTATCAACGCGGCTAATTGTGTAAAAGCTTCACAAAGTAACAATATTATTATAAGTTGCTTTAATAAAATAATTGGGATTTGAAACTGATTTACCTGACTCGCAGCAAATCGGGTACCCATGCTTGTCCGTCGTTTGTAAACGTCCGTCTTTAAACCTGAACAGAGGATGGAAGACAAAGGTTCCGCTGTGCTCTGCTTGCCTGTAAATTACCGAATACATTGGGAATCAGACTTTGAATCCTTTTCTATTTAAACGAACGCTGACCATTAACGATTTTACCAGAAAAAATATCCAATATGTTAATCGTGTTAATACCGATGTGTTTTTAAACATGATATTTCCAATAGCATTGTAGTAATACAATGTTGCATTGGTTTTAAGTCATTAGAGCTCATGATATGGAATATTAAACAATTCTGAGATTTAAATTGTGTATTTTTCATGAAATTATTAAAACAAATATCCTAAAATCCAATAGAAATAAGTGTGTCTTATTTTTCTAATGTAGTAATTATATCTGATATATATATATTTGGAAACACTGGGTCAGATGACATTGAAGCGATTGAAAACCTTTTTTTATATAGAATATATCTTCTATTTAAATGGTAATTTATTGATGATGCCCAAGTGAAACCCTGGGGTTAAGAGCAAGGGCTCGTGAGCTTACCATCCTTTAACTGCCGACAGCCTTGATGCAGAGACAAAGGGCAAGCCCAGTATTTGAGCTTAAGGAGACATAAAGCATTTGATATCTGGATACCTGCAGTTAGAAGCAGTCAGGCAAAGCCATCTGGTACTCCAATATTATAAATTGAATACAAACGGCTGTACAAAGAAATTCAAATTTGCATACAGAAATGAATTAAACATTCTACAATTCTGATCAACAGGCAAGCCTTTAATTATTTAAAAAGGAATAACATTTGTGGTCAAATATTTATTAATGTATAAAAATAAATAGATCAAATATTGGAAATATACTTAGAAGTATAGATAAAAACACGTAAAGATCACCAACATAAAACAGAAACAGAAGTTAAATCAGTAAAACAATTCCATCCAGTTCTCTGTGCGGTTCCTCTGAGGCAAACAACTCAAGGTTGGGATCACTTGTCAGTTTGGGTGGCAAAGCTGGATCCCATTTAACCATTACTATGTTTTAATGCCTCACCTTTTTCTAAATTTGAAGAATAAATTAAACAAATACAATTAAAAAGGGAAAAAAACATACATCATGATGGTTTTGCTTTGCTATGAGAAATGACTTATATGTCAAACAAGGACATTTTGATCAACATCTTCATAATGATATTCATTAAACTTGTTACCAAGCTGTATATAATGTATAAAGTTAAAGTCCATTGGTCTCTAAAAGACTACTGTCTGGATGATTATGTCTTCGGACTAAGAAAAGCCTCCATTTCTTCATTTTGCACTTCATGTCCTCTTCGCACTGCAGCACATGAAAGGCTGGACGGATGGTCGGGATGACACTCCCTTTTAACTCGGTTTTCAATCTTCATGGAGGTACTTCTGAAGCTCTGTTTCCAGGGCCACCATTGACAACCTGTCATCCTCATCTTCCTCCTCCTCCTCTTCATCATCAGGAAGAGTCTCATCATGTCCATCGGGGAACAAGCCTTGACCGACGAACGCTTCAGGGCCAGAGTCCGGGTGCTGTGGTGAGCCTGCTTGAAAAGGGAAGGAGCTGCCTTTACATTTACTTGATACAGATATTATTCTTATTTGATTTGAGAATAAATATAGTCTTTCATATTTGATATTGTATGTGTTTTTTCCCCGTTTTAAAAGCTGAATGATAGTAAAGTAATGTCATTTTCTGGACTTACCAGACTGTTGTAGCTATTCTATTATTTGGCTTAGTCATTATATCTGCATTACTGATGATTATAATCAATTCATTAAACTCATTGTTTGAATATAATGTGAAAGTACCATCAGTCTACCCTACAATATTGAAAGAGGTATTGAGTCAAAAAATGTAATATTAGATTTTCTCCACATCACCAAGCCATAACACATATTTATTTAAAACATGGTGGGAAAGGTAGGCATAATCTTAACCTGGATGTAAGGCGAATAACTAACACATATTGTTAAATGTGCAAAGAAAGGGTTAATCAAGTACAGGTGGAGGAGCAGTATAGAATCTAAAGTGGAAAACACGGCCGGCCATTGTCAGTGTTAAGAGTACTCACAGTAGCTCTGGGATTCAGGCACCACCTCTGTCCAGCTGTACTCTGCCATGGAGATGGGCTGGCTGATCCAGGCCTGCAGCAGCAGCTGGTCCAGAGGCATCCTCTGAGCGGGGTCAGGGTGCAGCAGCCCACACAACACATCACGCAGCTCTGAGAGACGACAGAGACATTTAAACACAGAGAGAAAAAAATGGTCAGTTTTCTGAGAGACAATGATGGAAAACTATATTCAAGATTCTCGGCTTTAATGCCATGTGCACAGTAGCTACAGTGTAGATATGGCAATGAAAAACGTAAGTCACAGGCTCCTCCAACAGCGCAACATGAATATATGTTGAACATAAAACAAATAAAATAGTGCAAGAGAACGTTTTGAGATGTGCAAGTACATTCAAATAAATAAATACAAATAGAAGTGCAGCCTCCAGTGAAGAACAGCGGTTTACCTGGGGAGAGGGGGAACGGAGGCTTCAGTTTGGCCTCCAGGATCTCTTCAACACCACAGAAAGGGTTTTCACTGAACAGCAGAGTGTAGAGCAACACACCCAGAGACCACATCTCCAGCTCGGGACCCTCATAGCTAGGAGACAATGAACAAGGAGACAAACAACAATTACAATGAGCTTTCACTTGGCAATATCAATTAACATGGAAGCATTTTATTTGCCAGATGATTTAGTGTCTGCGTACAACTTTGTAAATGTTCAATGAATATTTCCTTGAGGCCACTTAGTTCATTCGTCACCTTAAAGGTTAACGAGTCATAAACGTTATACAAGACTGTCTTCAAAGCTATGAGTAAGCTGCGTGATCACAAGGACAGTTATTAACCCCTTTAAAATAAATCATCCATAGAAAAGGGACCAATATGGCTTTTTTCATTTGTTGCTAAGTGAAAGGAACAAACATCACTTGTCACTCTCAGGTATTATGTACGTACGGATTTCCCTGAAGCACCTCCGGGGAGCAGTACTCCAGTGTGCCACAGAAATTGTAAAAGAGCTTTCTTGGAGCCATCATGGCAGCAGAGCCAAAGTCTATGAGGCGGACGTGGAAACACTTGTCGATGATGATGTTTTCGTCTTTTATGTCCCTGTGAAGGATGTTCTTAGACCTCAGATAGAAGACGGCAGCCACCAGCTGGAAAGAGACAGAACCTCCAGTTTACCAAGAAACAAAAAAACACATCTAATTTCAGAGACTATTGTCCGGTAAATGGATTATAGTGCCCGTGCGAATACCTGTCTGAAGATGTAGCTGGCCAGGGGCTCATCCAGCCGTGGCTGCATGTCTATGAACTCAAAAAGGTCCAGGCCATCTCCATGGTTCTCCATCACCATCTGGAAGTAGCTCCCGTTCTCAAACACCTCCAGCACCTAGTAGCAGACACGCATATAGGAGGGGGGAAATAGTTAAGCTAAATAAATGAAGTATTTTACAACCCATTTTATGAACCCTTGTGTTTGGATATGTTGTTCAAGTTCCTTTGATGTTCATTAATGACAACAAATTCTATTTTTTCAGATGTTTAACCCTTAACATGCAAGTTTGCTTACATTATCCACGTTTTTTTCTTGTCTATTTCTCTGACGGTATTTCTGCATGAAACCAGGATAATAATGCCAAACTTGGGAAAATGTTGGAAAATAGAAATAACCACAATGTTGTGTCTAGGGCTCTAAAGTCTGATATAAAAGAAGGAACCATTTTATGCTGTAATGGCTATGGGATCAAAACAAATTGGGACATTTTTAACCTTGAGGGTCTAAATGTCCACTTTTTTGTAAGACAGTTTATCATTGACTTATTAGCAGAGGTAACATTAACCAAAATTATCAAAATATAATGAACAAAAATGTCCCTTCCGAGGCAGAGATGTTAAAGATGACCTTGACTATGTTGTGGTGCTGAACTCGTGTCAGGATGGCGATCTCCTGGCTGACTCGCCCCAGCATCGGGTCATCCACCCAGCAGTCCCTCACTATCCTGGTCTTGCTAATGAATTTCACTATCACCTGCAAAATAGAACAATAAATACGTCATTAAAACAGTCATATTACTTTCTAAAATCAGTTGAAATACTTTCACATATAAATACAGTAGCTGTGTATTGTATATAATAATAATAATAATAATAATATTGGGAGGGATGAAACCCTCTTTAATGGTCACACATGCAGAGCACACAGCACACAGTGAAATGTGTTCTCTGCTTTTAACCCATCCTAGTACCAGGAGTCTAGCACTAGGAGCAGTGGGGAGCTATTGTACAGCGCCCGGGGAGCAATGGGAGTGAGGGGGGAAGGGGGATGTCCGCTGCCTTGCTCAAGGGCACCACGGCAGGGCAGGAGGTGAACTGGGACCTCTCCAAATAGCAGTCCACACTCTATATTTAGGTCTGTTCGGGGACTTGAACCGGCGACCCTACGGCTCACAGTCCAAGCCCCTACTGACTGAGCCACTGCCGGACAAAAAGGTCTCTGCATTTGACCCATCCTAGTGTTAGGAGCAGCGTAGGGAACGGTGCCTTGCTCAGGGACACCTCGGTAGCACTTGGTCTTTCCGGGACTTGAACTGGTGACCTTCCAGTTGCCAAGCCAAGTCCCTATGGACTTCGCCACCACAGTGTTAATTTTGGCAGCTGTTTTTGATTTAGTCTTGGTCTTTAGACGAAAATGGTTATTAGTTTTAGTCACATTTTAGTAATTCCTATCCTTCGTAGTTTTAGTCTAGTTTTAGTCGACGAAAGCTCAAAACGTTTTAGTCAACTTTTAGTCGATGAAAAATTACATTTTAGTCAACTTTTAGTCAAAATGTGTCTCTATACTCTCT